ATTGGGGATGTGGGAATTTGGGGATATGGGAATTTGGGGATGTGCGGATTTGAGGATGTGGGAAATTGGGGATGTGGGAATTTGGGGAAGTGGGAATTTAGGGATATGGGAATTTGGGGATTTGGGATTTTGGGAATATGTGAATTTGGGAATATGTGAATTTGGGAACGTGGGAATTTGGGAATATGTGAATTTGGGAACGTGGGAATTTGGGAACGTGGGAATTCGGGAACGTGGGAACTTGGGAACTTGGGAATTTGGGAACTTGGGAATTCGGGAACTTGGGAATTTGGGAATGTGGGATAACATAACAATTAACAATTGATATAAAGAAATAACAATTGACATAACAATTGAAAATTTAGAAATTTAAAAATATGAGAATTGATGACTTGGAGATTTGAGAACTTGCTATCCAAAAATTAGAAAACTCAGAACTCGTCAAGTCCACATACGCTTCACATATTACACCACACGTCCATCACACTATCAAACCCAAAACATAACCTCAATGATTCATAAAATAATTACACAACAGAGGTACAGGGCGGAATATTGCAAGATTCGATAGGGTACGAATAAGTTCGCAAAGAGGGTAGCGTACTATATTTTAGCGTCTAGACCCAAGATCGCGTGCGGCGCCTCAGCTCGCGTGTACGCTTATCCCCGTTGCTCGAGCAATTCCCAAAGGATGAATTTTCCGGCAGATCGTGTGCTTACTCGATATACAAACTTCTTTCCAAACGAAGTATTACTTTATGTTTTTTCGAAGAAACTTATTGTTCGAAGTTTGTTCGAGGTAGGGTTAGAAAGTGCAGGTGCAAAAAGTCGCACAAAACTGGAAGGTGTCATCTTCCGCAATGCGGTTTCAAAGTTTCTCCCGCAGGACTTTCTAGTCACGGTTGCCAATGACCTACATTAAACGGTTCGATTCATTTATTACCGTAGTAACTATGATCCTTGATTACGGTTTAATTTGAATGTGAATGTTGTTATTTTAATAATCATGTTCGATATGTGTCCACATATATGTCCACATATTCATGTTTGAATTAAGTAGAATGCAAATATTGTTCTTTTAATAATCATATTTGATATACGTCTACATATATGTCCATATAATCATGTTTGAATTAGGTAGAATACAAATATTCTTCTTTTAAATAATCATGTGTGATATACGTCCACATATGTGTTCATATACTCATGTTTGAATTAAGTAGAATACAAATATTTTTCCTTTAGAAATCATGTTTGATATATATCCACGTATATGTTCAAATAATCATATTTGATATACATATATATATGTATATGTATGTGTATACGTATGTGTACATATATGTGCATATGTACGTGTATATGTATGTATGTGCATATATATGTGTATATGTGTATATGTATGTGTATATATATGTGCATATGTATGTGTATATGTATGTGTATATACATATATGTGCATATGTTTGTGTATATGTATGTTCATATGTATCATGTGTGTCTATATACATATCTGAATGCATGTGTGCATGTAGGCATATATGTATATGTATATGTATATGTCCAAATAATCATGTTAGAATCAAATAGAATACAAATATTCTTTCTTTAACAATCACGTTCAACATGTCCAAATAATCATGTTCCACATATGCATATGCATAAGTATATGTACATATCCTAATCATGTTGAAATTAATAAAAGAATCAATAAATCTAATTTCTTTAAAAGCTTCCCAATCATTCCAAAACCAAAAAACATCGAACAAAGGTACTCCAGAACAAACAAACTTTAGTTACACAAAAGTATCTTACGATCGATCTGCACGAGTAACCGAAGCGTAAACGCGTGAAATTTTGCGACGTTTTTTCTCTCGTATCCGATTAACCCGGTTCCTCTTCATCGAATCGTTTCTCCTGGCCGTGAAAAGAACAAAGCAGAAGAACAATAAGTGTCTAAGCGATCCGTCGCGTTTCCTTCGCTCGATCTGCAACGTGTAATTCAGCGATCATCAAAATTGCGGGGCTCGCGAGGTACTCCATTGTAGCTGCAACTTCATGGTCCCACGATTCGTCTTCGACGAGTCTCTTCTGCATCTACGGTGTTTCGTTTTGCATGAGGAAACGGACCAGCCCGGAGATTAGTCACGAAGCTCGTGTTTATGGTCACGAAACGATCTCGTGCGTGGTCGTGCATCCACTTTTCGAGCCTTCGATTAGAAAGTTGAAAGAATCCAGGTACCATTCGGGGATAGTTCCGCGAATTCAGTTTATAAATTGTGGATGATATAATTATTTGGAAATTTAAGTGTTGTGTTAATCCCCTAACAAATTTTTGTCGTTTATCGAAGATGATGATTCCCAATTTTGGATGACTGGTTATTTCGAAAGGTGATCTAACATGTTGACCGCTATAGGCAAGTGAAAATTCTGTGGACTTTTATGATTAATAAGTTTTACTAAATTTTGTTTTACTATTCAAAGTTTCACTTAATACGACAGTTATTAATATGACTGTTTTCAATGATGTACAGGAAAAAAATTCTTAATAATATTCAAATGGATTGATTTATATGTGCGTCGCTCAATTAAGCGTCACACATATGTGGATGACGTGGTAGTCAAAGTATTAACAGGACCTACAACTCGAACTTTTAGTGATGATAGCAAGAAATTTTTAGTTGGAAAGCTTGATGAACTCTTCTAATTAATTTTCACTGTATTTGTAGCTCATATGTGTAACATATGTACGTATATTCACTGTAGATTCAGGTCAAAAGTACCTCTCTCAGGTTGCTCAAATACATTTTCAAATTTTGGTGGTGACATGAAGAAACTTTTAGTTGAAATGCTTGATGAACTCCTTTGAAATTATTTCTCTACTATTAATATTCATTGTGTTCATACTTCACATATGTAATACATGTATATTCACTGTAGATCTACATCAAAAGTACCTATCTCAGATTGTTCAAATACCTGCTCAAATTTTTATGTTGACTTAAAGAAATTTTTAGTTGAAATGCTTGATGAACACCTTTGAAATTATTTCTCTACTATTAATATTCATTGTGTTCATACTTCACATATGTAACATACGTATATTCACTGTAAATTCAGGTCAAAAGTACCTATCTCAGATTGCTCAAATACCTGTTCAAATTTTGGTGTAGACATGAAGAAATTGTTAGTTGAAATGCTTGATGAACTCCTTTGAAATTATTTCTCTACTATTAATATTCAACTGTATTTG